AATAGTAATACTATTATAAATATTATTGTTATTAGAAAAAAACGCTTAAATATAAAACTACATTTTTTGAAAGCATACCATGAGAGACAGTTGCATTACTTTGCGCTTCGTGAATATTTGAACAGCTGTGAGATGTTGGATCTTTGAAAGTACTGTTAAATTGCACGTTCGAATGATGGAATGATAAGTTACCTAAGAAAAGTTACTCATTTAATAAATATGATGATTTATTTTCTAAAACACATACATACCTGATAATTCAGGTAAGGGGAGCGTTTCTTCAAAGTCTCTAACAACTTCTATGTCATCCTGAAAAATTTCGTCATCCTCTTCTGACTCAACATCGCTATCGACTGAAGATCTGTCTCCTGACCATTGACTACCTTCACTATCATCTTCATCATCTATATAATCTTCATCATCTTCACTAGTAGTTTGGTTATTACTATGGCGATAACTTTGTTCCTTATCTTGGTATTGTAAGTTTTTATCTATGGATGAGATGTCAGTAGGATCTTCAAATCCACTATCACGAGTAATTTCTGTTTTAGAATATTTTATTTTTATTAGTGCATAGCCCATACTGCCACAGTTTTATTTGTGTTCGTTATATAGTTAAAGCAATGAAGGAGACTAGAAAAGTCTACATATAAGAACACGAAAATTGTCTTTGGAATACTAATAAATAATAGATAAGTGTCTTAAATAATTGACCTGAATTAAATGTTATAGAACCTCTTTTACTGTAAAGTTTATCGATCTACATTTTTTTCAGAGCGTTCTGTCATAACTGTTAAAATTTTTCAAGTAGAAAGAACAATTTAAATCTTAATATTAACCATTTCTAACGTCAAAGATCTCTGATTTAACGAACTTGAACTTGTAAAAGACTATTTGAACTTTACTTTTAAATTTCAGTACATTAATTGGTTCAATAGAGCAACAACGCAATTGGTACAAAAATTTTACGTACGAGTAAATTGATCAGCTTCTTCAGGCAGTTCTTCAAATAGCTCGATCTCCGTTGGTTGTATGTCAGTAAATAGTTCAATTACTATACCATTCTTTGTAGCTACATTAAAAAAATTAATTTAAATATTCTTCTCAGTATTTTTCAAGTTGAATAATAATTGTTGTATTTATTTTATTTAATGCTACAACATAAAAATATAGTTTCGAGATAACATATTTTGTAGAGTATCAGATGAGTCGACTTGCATATAAACAATACAAAATATAAATGGGTTAAATCTAACACATTCAGGATATTTTTATTGCAAAGTTACTTAACATTGTTTACTTTGAGGAGGCTCATCACGATAGTGCTGTATGAAGCAGGGCCACTGTGTGAGATTTCCATGAATTTGAAATTTATGGAATACAAACGAATAAAAATGCAGTTAGTGCTTTATATCAAGACCTGATCTACATATGTATAAGTGGAAAACTTTATAAAACGATGTAATTAATAAAATTTTTTTTTTACTAAGGTATAAAACGTAATGTGTATGTCCTCTATCAAGCAGACCAAGTCACGCGTTTGCCTGTCAGTTTCGTGTACATGCAAATAAATAAATCTATTTTAATTGAAGTGTTAGATAAAAGTGGCTGACAACGGCTAAAGTTGTTCCAAAGCAAAAGTTTTAAAGGCTACCCACGTGTTACTAGTATCGAGAAAGAATTAAAAAAAATATAGTAAGTTTTTGTTCGCCATTAAATATTTAAAAATCTTATTCAATTTATATTATGATTATTATTATTTATCTCGTTATAAAAGTCTCTATCTGCGACCGAATGCAAAATGAAGATCAAAAGGTTTTTTAAAAATACTTATTTCTTATTAATTCGATGTGGTTATTTCAACTACTGTTGATAAAAATTTTTTTTAACAACATTTTTACAATAATGTGCATCTGAAAAACTGTGTGCCACATAAGTTATAGGTCACAACTTCTTATTTTTAATATTTGTATCCCCGAACATGTACATGGAATTAAAAATGAGGTGTATATCCAGCTTGAACTTTCGCACTCAATATCTTTTTATTCGCTCAGCAAACGTCGATTTCCACGATTTCATAAAAAAGAGGATTATTGCAACTACCAAATTTCAGTTTTTATAGTATACGGCTCAACTTTTAACCGAAAAAGGCTACGACTTCTGCTAGATAACACTAAATGCTTTATAAGACCCATGAAAAAGTCTTTAATTTTAAAAGATTTTATTTTTATTTTTGTGGGCAACATGCCCTAAAATTTTTACTGTAGGTTCGTTGAGTCTCATTTGACTATGGATTTCAACTTGGGTGCAATCTCCGATCTTTTGACAAAGTGATGAGCCCCCTTCAGTATACATATACTATGTATGTATTCATAGATATTGAAATAATAAAAATGTTATAATAAAGCAAAAAGAAAGACTTTTATCTTTGCTTTGCCGTAAAATTTGATAGACTGATTGTGAGTTTTCTAATGGTATATCAGAAATTATTATTCAAATAACATAATGTATAAGCTTAAACTAATAAATGTGTACTACTAACTTTGAGTTGACTTGAGTGAAAGCTTCTCATTTGTAATCTCTTGAATACTATGATTCTTTGGAATATCATGTTGTACTGGACTTTTGTGGTTTGGTAGAAGTTTTTTTAATGCGTTACCCTCAATTACGTTACTTTTATTAATACCTGGGTACTCTTTACCGTTATTATTAGAATACTTCTGCTTGGCTGCTTTAATGTACATCTCATCTGCAATATTTGTTATGCAAAAAGTAAGTATTAAATTAAGACAACTTTTTATAAAATCTTTTTTCTTTGTGTTTCAGTAAATAAGAATGATCCTGGACTGACATAGAAAAATACTTTGTCATATACTGTAGAACCTTGTAGTAAAACATGTAATGTTACGAGTGTGCTTTGAAAATCTTTTAACCTAAATAGAGAGGGTGTACCAGTAGATCNTAGACACCCAGCATCACCTAGCATTAATTAGAAATAAGGACTTATATCAACACGTGAGATGCAAGATTAAGGAAACTCATCCCACCTAAAAAAAGACGGAATTTCATATGTGATTACTTCCGTTCTAACTTTCGGAAAGCCGTGTGGCATTATGTATGGTTTTACATGTGGCATTAGATAAGAGGTTTTGGCTAGGTAATGCCATGTATTATACCACAAAAAACTTTGATAGCTTAGTGGTTAGCGTGCTAGTTTTCTAGCCTGAGATATTCGAGGGGTCGTTGGTTCGAGTCCTATCGAAGATTGTCAAGATTTTTTTTCTTGGACTTTTTTGATGAAATGAGAATCCAGGATGCCGAAAAACTTCTTATCCGATTTTTTAAATGAATAGTGAATTTTTTTCTGTATATGTCTGGACTTCCAAGGGATTCCGTTTCTAAGGGAAACCACCACCTAGCCAGCTTATTGGGTAAAGTCACTGCTTGTAATAAAAAAACTCCTAATAATGAAACAATCAGTACCGGATAATAAGAACAAGAATACGATGAGTAATTATCCTGGGAACTTTTTGGGAGTAATTATTATAACAGATGTTTTATAAGGAATCTATAGTGATGCTGCTAATGTAATAATTTATATAATAATACATAATTAACTTGCTTTTAAGTCAGTTACATAAAAACTGTGCCTTGCAAACATATTTTTACCAAGATACTTGCTAATGTTGCACACTTGGATCCAGTTTTAATGAAAATTATTATTATTCAGTGTACTGTAAAAAATTACTCCATTAATTTACACTTAAATTATGATTGCAGCTAGGCACAATGTAGAGCAAGTGTTAAGTCATGTTTACTAAAAATAAGAGCTATCTATATTTTGCAGATTTTTTGCTGGTATTTACCACTTATCCATGATGATAGACCTAGTTCACATTTCAACCGCCAGAGCGGCGCTGTTTGTCGCTTGTGATATTAAATAGGAATTAACGATTTAAAAAATAATCTTAAGCGCAAATATCTTTAGATAGTGAGAGAACTCATGTTTAAGCGTGGAAATGTCAAACGTGTGGATTACAAATCAAGGAATAAATACACAAAATGCGTGAAGAAAACATGATACGATTCAACATAACTAGAAATAATTGAAGACTAAGCTAGGATGAGAATATAAAGGGCTTTGTGTAGTGATTTGGATGATAACAGCAAATATTGGTTCATATTAAGATAGAGTTTACATGTTTAATAATAATAAAACTGTAAGCTAAGAATGTTCATTTTTTAAGACTGTATTTACAAAAAAAAAAGTATTACAAGGTCTTATGTGGAAGCCTAGTTGATAAGGTTTTAATAGAAGTATTTCGTGTTCTATAATGCAAAAATATGTAGGCTACGTTAATATATTAAATCTGTAGTGTAAGCGCAAAATCACTTGTAATAGAAATAAGCGCGTGCAACATATAAAGGAGTATTTAAAAGAAAAATGCAATGCCTAGCAATATCATACTCCACTTATTTTGCACTACGAAGATAAAGTCAATGATAATTGTGTGTGCAGATATTAAGTTCAATTCCTGAATCGATAAGCTATAAAATTTCTTGAAATATTTTTTTTACTAATATTTAATTTGAATCCTATTTTCTTTCTTTGTTCCCTTAGCTGTGCTTTGCCTCTAGGACCACTATTTATTAACAACATCCAAAACAGAGGTAGCTGTTAAAACCGTATTTGTGTTTATAGCAGTAGCCAAGAGTAAAGATTTTGATTTCTCAGCCAAAAAGAAATATGTTATTAAATTAAAGAAAATAGGGAAAGTGTATATTTTTTTTTATTTTTCAACATATTTCCCACAATAAGTAATTCAAAATAGCTCACTCCATGCAGCTTTGAAATTTTGTAAGTTTAACCTCTCTAACATAGGGAAGGTCAGATCTTCCTAAAGAACTGATATCTAAATATTTTTATAAGAAATAACATTTTTTATGAATTACTCAATTATTAATTATGTATAATATTTATACATGTTATAGTTGAATTAATTAAAACTCATAATGATATCTTAATGCTTTGTGATGGATACAACAGTTATTAAAATTGTTAAAAAAATTTATTTAAAATATAATATTCATAATTGTTTTGGAATTTATGTTAATGTTGTCTATTATTGCCAGATTGAATAGGATTTAGTTTTTTATCTATCTATTGTAATAAGAGCTTGATAACTGAGTAGTCACAAAAAATGATTCTTTCTTTTTCTTCCGGATAAAAACATTTTTCTTATGATTATAGTTATAATTTTGATGAAGTATGTACTGACACTTAGACAAGAGAATGATTAACTGTATTATTACAGCTCACTTAGGAATTCTTACCTCAGTCACTTTTAAAAATTCTTAGGTACAGTTTTGATAATTCTGATGTATGCGGATAGCACATCAGCTCTGATCTCTCAGATTAATTTTTATCAGAAGGGGAGGAACTGACAATGCTATTTAATTAAGAAGAAAATATTGTTTAAAGTAATAAAAAAATTACAAATATTTGAATAACGGTTTTTAAATCATAAGTATTATTTTCCTACTCATTCACACAATTTTCACACTTTCAATGTCTGTTAGTATTTAGGATATTCTGGTCTTTTTTTAAGATTAGACAAGAGACAAGCAGTGTTTTATTTCAGTGAAGCATTAAAATGTACTAAATAATTTTAAGATACCAAACTAAAGAATTTAATAATTTCTTACACTTCTCACAACAAACATGCAAACTAAATAATCATTATGTTTATTTAAAACTACTAAGTCATAAGTCAAGCTTGTATGTTGCATACTAACAATTAAACTTTTTCATAAACGAAATATATTGCACATACAGCTAAACATTTATAGGTTTATGAAAAAAAACTAAAACTCAACTGGAGTACCGCTGTTCACTACTATAAGAAGCCAAATTAGGATTTCTTGTATGATTCAGTGTTAAGACTACGATATACACTTAATCGGGATAAAAATCTTTCAAACACGTTATTTCCAGAAAAAGAATAGTTCGTAAAAACAAAAAACAGACCTTCCTTCGTAATTACTACATTGCATGATTGTAATAACTATAACTTTAAAATTCATACCATTAAAACAGCCTTTCGAATTGTCATCCATTTTCAATGAAGCAACAAACAAATAACAATTAACAATGAGCACTACTCATGTAGCATGCTTGAATCAGGCATCTTTTCTGGGAAAGATGGACCGTAAGAGTACTGCTGCATACATAATTACTATAGTTACTACGCAGTTACGCACGATGCACGATCCGTACGATGTGCAATCATAGACCAAAAAATGATAGACTACTCATTCTAAGCAAGGATTTAGCAAGGGCAGTGATGCCAGTGAAGCTCAGGGACCGTACCATTGAACTTTTGTGCTGTACATCAACCTATGTTATAACATAGGCCTGCGAAGCAAAAAAAAGTTATATGGTACGGCTCCAGGTATAGAAACAGAAAAGTCGAGGAAAGTCAGTCCTTTTTCTTTACACTTGTAGATTAGGGGTTAGGGGTACATACATATAAGAACTGCATAGATAAATGTACAGCTGACCAGCTGTACTTTCCCCTGTAGTTCTCTTTTTCATCTATTTCCATTTTACGAGTGTGCAAGACCACGCCACGCGACCAACCTTGGCCGCAGCTTGTCACCTGACTTGGCCTCCATAATAGACATATAAGAAACATAGACTGCTCGTTCTTATGTACGGCGCTGAAGCACGAGTAGAAGGAGACACAATATCGAACGTGGGTTTCTGTCTCTCTCGCACCTTTTCACATTCGACAATGTGTAAGAGAGACAGATACCCACGTTCATAGAGATGTAAGGGTAGAGTTCGCTAATTTTACTCATGTACGTAAGGGGGAGTGATACGGTAAAAGAAAGAGATGGTCGCCGAGTGTCCTCTCCATCTCTTTCCAGCTGAGCGCTGTGATTGGCTGCTGCTCAAGGGGGTATTCTGGCCGTCAGTGGTCAGCGGCAGTTACTGACATAGGTTATTGCCTCTTGAGCATCAGCCAATCACAGCGCTCAGATAGAAAGAGACAGAGAGGACACTCGGCAACCATCTCTTTCTTTTACCGTATCGCTGTATTCAGCCCCTACCGCACTTTATCCTTCTATCTCTATGTATGTCACACTCCAGCATAGTTAGAAGATATGCATATATCCTCATGGATATAGATATGGCCATATCCTCTGGTAGTTCACATGACCACTAGGATGCTGATTTAACGCTAAATCGACGTTGATTTATAATTAATGTTACCGTTGTAAATTTATAAGCTGTAAAATAATTAATATAAATTGCAACTGTAATTCTAACATAAAAAAAGCAATATTTAGAAGTCAATTACCAATATTAACTTAAAGCAACGCTGATTCAACATGGGATCAATGCAAAGTGTACAATGTTGTTTCCGACTGATTTCAGCATTGATATTATTGGTAGGGTATTTATGTGGATAGTAGATTTGGTGTGAATAGACCCAGCAATAAATGAATAAGTACTTACTTGGCTTGATGGAGTGATGGCACCACTGTAAAGGTGCAGCTTATGGTTTACATAAAAGCAGTTGTTGGCTCAGTGCATGGTTGACTGACCATGGTAGCGTGCTAGCCTCGGAAACAACACTCTTTGAAGGATCGCAGGTTCGATTCCCGGTCAGGGCACTCACATTTTTTTTTGTTAGTTTTCATCGCGAAAAAATCTATGATTCCGAAATATGCATATGCGTAATA